AAAGCTTTACGTGAAAAGTATGACGGTTTCACTCATTTAAGAACCTTAGACCGGTGGGTTTCAACGTTCACAGTTCAGAACGTCAACTGACGAAACGCAGTTGACAGTTTAGAACGTCAACTAATGCAGTAGCGTTGACAGTTCAGAACGTCAACTGATGCAGTAGCGTTGACAGTTGAGAAGGAAAACCGCTACGGCTACACCCCTATTCATAACAGAAGAATAGACATCGAGAATATCGAAAGCAATATCAAAGAGGAAAGATCGTCTATTGTCTTTTACATATCCTCTGTGGTTATAAAAGAGGGAGGCTGATAAGAACACTTTCCATCTCCCTATATTTTTGGAAAAGAATTACATATTCAGAATCAGCGTCAAATTCTGTATCGAACGAAGTATCTGATTCACTCAGAAATCGGCTTTTATGTTTTTCAAAAAATGTTCGCCTCCATGAGTAGCCGGCTAGCCAGCCGCAGTGGACAATTTTGACTAGGCACGTGGATATGTGCCATAAAAGTGATACAAAAGTCTATAAGTACTATTTTTATAGGTTTTCGTAAGTATTGTTTGCAATGGTGTGACCGGAATCGACTACAAAATTTTATGTACCAATTTTTCCTGATCCGACTAGGTAATTTCTGTTACAATTTAGCATCCATTATGACTTCGGCCCAATCCTAAAGATGTTGGGTTCAGAAGTGTTTGTGGTTCACGAGAGAAGAGAAGATCTTACTAAAAGACCGGAGCGTAGGATTAAGCTCCAAACTGGTGTATGTATGATAGGCACTACCGTTTCTAAAGTCCAGTTTAGTTTCAGACATAGTACACAAATTTACACTTTTTACACTTTTTTCAGAGACCGGAGTTTCAGAAGCTCCAGAGATCGCTGATTTCGAATACGTTATTATCTTTCAATACAGTTGCTTCTGAAAGAAGAGAAGAAGACTTTACTCCAAAAACCAATGGCGTTTTAGCAACCTAGCGTCAGCTAAAGTATCAAGAAGTAGCAAGAAAAAAAGATGCAGAAAAAGACATCTTTGGGCATCAAAGCAAAACAATACACTCATTATTCTCTTATCGAGAATCACAATGCTGACAACAGCCTAATTAATAGAAATATGGTCACAAGATTCTGTATGAGATTCATCAAAAATGCCTTTGGCGAAGTTATTTTCATTTCTACATAAAAACAAATGTTGCTACTATGCTCAGCGCAGTCGGCTCTTAATACTGCAACAGCAAGTACTACAAGCAGAAAGGGCCATTCAGTAAAGACGCTCGACAGAACGCAAGAATTCTGATTCTTACCCCCCCCATATTCAAATTCTTCTTTCCCAATTTTCAATATTTTCAAATTCTTTTCCACGTATCGCCTACTTGCACTGAAATTGTACATTTTCTTTTTTTAGAGGTTTGAGGCTCTAAGTTAGGCAAAAAAGGTTCAACGGTAACTAAAGTAGCATTTTTAGTGAGCATTTCAGCCTGATTTTTGGATTAATTTCAAACATGTAATTCAGCAGTATTTAAGAATTTTAAATTAGCAAGTGTAAACGAGAAGGCAATTGGTTTTCAGTTGCATTGATGGAAGAATCTACTCTAATTAAGAATGTCAGTACATTTGCTGCTCCATGAATTTGAGTAAAAGTTCAAAGAAGAAGAATAGTGAAGATCAAAACCTTTTCGGATGTCTGGAATAGTTCGACCCGAACATCTCTCTCATTTGACCGGTGGAGTTAAGTCACCTACCAGAATTAGCTCAGAAGTTTCTTCTGGATAAATCCTACCTACTACCATTACGAGAGGTAAAGCGTAATAAGTAACGGGTGATTAAAAATCTTAGAGACTAAGTTGTTGCACTAAACTACAGAGCCCAGAATAAAAGAAACTATTTCGAATCTTTCATAAAGTAACGTAAGTTGACGTTATAAATTAACATTTTCTTATCGTGCACCACTGTTTAAAAAAGTTCATATTTAAAAACCGAAGAAAAGATTTTGTTAAGCGAAAATTTCAAAATTTTTGAAAAGACTTTAACCCTTTTAATCACATTTGTTTCTTAAAAAGGCCCAAACATCCTTTGTCGGTTTTCTAAAATATCAATTTCTTTTACAGACCAGTCACTGTACGCGTTTGTGCTACTATCGATGATGGCCGAACTAGGCGATTCTGACTAGAGAATCTCTCCAAGTGTCCAATCAATCAATTTTCCTTAAGGGAGGGGGCACCCACCCGTTTTGTTTTACCAGTTTATAGAGGGCACTTCAAAGTATACGTCTCAACAAAGTTTTCAGTTCGCGGATTTATAGTTTTTGATAAAAGAAATTTTTGAAGTTTTTTTCGGGTTTTCTGCCCTATTTTTAAAATTTGAATAAAACCTTCAGCTTTTTATATGAAGGGTTGATTCTGGCGTAGGTCGATATATATGATATACGATATGAACGTACAGCATTAGATATTGAAACAATATCAGAATATCAGAATAGATTTATTGTATATCGTAAAAATTATGTTGTAAAATTTCGAAATTACGAGCATGATTACCGCAGCTCAAAGCCTTCTGCAGCCCTTCTAGAAAAACGAGAACCCATCCATTTTGGTGCTTTTAGAGATAAAATACTGAAACGTTTACTACACATCCTAATCGTCATTCAATATGGTAGAAAGAAATCACCTTAAACATTCATTTTTTCTTTCTTTCTTGAAAATATTTCTCTAAACAGCACCTTTATGAAACTTATTCTTTTCTCGAGAACTGACAATTCTCTACAAAATAGAGATAAAACAAAGGTGAAAATAGCCAACATCCATCTAAGCGAATACATTTTGAACAGGCCTGCTGCAAAACACTTGATAATTGAAAAAGCACATTCACGACGAAGAGTGAAGTGCTCTCAAAGTGTAAACAACTTCTCGTGCAAACAAACGAGTCGAGAAATGTTTTCATATGTTTTCATTCATTAGTAGTCAAATATGACCGTAAAGAAAAAAATCCTGCTTTTTCTTTACGCAATTATGTTTCTACCACTGTAGCTTTTACTTTTCTCGGTAATCAGATTAGCTAGGAACTTGCACAAGTGATCCTTGATGAGGGTAGTTCAGCTTTGTTTCAGTATTTCATTTATGCCGAGTCAATCACATGTCCCATGCGCGTAGTTTCGAAATTTTACAACATAATTTTTACGATATACAATAAAAGGCTGTTGTCGAGACAATGTTCTGTTTCACATTATATCTAGTTGTTTACTTCCATAACACATTTAGATATATATTGTATGGTAGTGATGATGTTGCCTATCAGCCAAAAACCTTCTTCAGCCCTTAACTTGAAATGCCCAAGAAAACAAATCTTGTATAGGCTAAATCTTGATACATTTGTGTGTAATTGGGCAATGCACGACTTGTTGTCGTCTAGATCACTGGTTGGAGAAGGGACTTCTAACTAGATGTGTCTGCGTATGCAACGAGCAATCGTTCAATCATTCGATGATCGGGCTATAAATCGACAGTTGCAAGTGAGGGGAATGGATGTGTAGTATCCGCGGCGCATATGGAAATCACCTTAAACATTCTTCTTCAGATACTCAGGACATGGTACGCCCCAGTAAGTGTTAAGACACGAGTCATTATTGGAAGCACTACAGCAGTTCCGCAGATTCCTTCTAAGTAAAATACCGTTTAATTAAAACTATGAGAGCAGAAGGATTTAGAGAAACAAAGCTGAACTTTCTTCGTGAAGAATCACTTCAGCATTTCGCAATTACTCAGTTGTTATCATTTTCTGTACATTATATTTTCAAATGAACTTCCGCGTTGACCTCTTCATAGTTTATTGGTTTTACAACAATGTTGGCTTTTTCCGTGCTATCACTCATATCACGCTTTTCCTTTACAGTCATATTTGACTATTACAGTCACTCTGCCATGAAATGTAGATGAACCCGGAAAAAGAATAGCATATTTTATGACAACACTTAATATAACGACAAAGATGGTGGAAAAAAAGAATATCACGATTATTATAGTCAATGTTTTGCGCCGTGATCTACCTTGCTTAACACTCACAGCAAGTTCAGCACATCCATCAGTTGCAGGATCTTGCGTGATTCGAGTAGATCCATTAGCTGGAAGGCATTGCACGGTCTCAGTAGATGCATCAGCTCGAGGGTCTTGCTTGGTCTCAGCAGATCCATCAGTTGCAGGGTCTTGCATCGGAGTAGATCCATCAACTTGGAAGGCATTGCGCGGTCTTAGTAGATCCATCAACTGGAGGGTGTTGCATGGATGTCAAGCTAAAAGAAAAGTATATTTGAGTTATTGCTTTGAAAACAAAAGCTTACACTTTCTACAAGTAGTGCTTTCGAGAAATATATTTATTTTTTTTGAAAGCTGGTAGTTATCTTTTCCCAGGAGAGAAATAAAACTTGTTTTGCTCCATGGATAAAAAATCAAAGGGTGGAAGTAGTATATTTGGTAGGAGATCATCATAACGAATATGGCTAACATATCTGAAGAAGCAAAATAAAAAACCATCAAACTGAAGAAAACTAGGGATGCAACGGTTTCGGATAACCGATTGGAAGCCGAAACAGCTGCCTGCCTATACAAGAGCTCTACACTCCATGGTTTTAAAAAAATGGCGTAAAAACTTGAAAATTGTCGATTTCCTTATTTTAACTTTTGTGTTTCACAACCTTCTTTATTCTAAACGAGTTGTTTATCAGTTGAACGAGCTAAAATTTATTTGAAAATATGTGCTCCTTCTCAGTTCTGTAAAATCAAAAACTAAAGTGAAAAATTTTAAATAAAAGGACTTTTTGAAATGCAAGGAAACAAATTTTTCGTTTAGAGGAATATAAAGCACTGAAACCTACTGGCAGTAAAACAATTTGGCGCATTTCATTCAGCCGAGCGAGAAACATAAGCTTATTATTCCACAGAGTTTTTCTGGAGGGTCCTGGAAAAAATTACTTTCCTACTCATCAGGAATCTCTTATCCGTTTCTGTTGCAAAGACTTTCGCTGCCATTTGTAGTGTCTACTGTTTAATGTCTAATTCCAGTCCTCTCTCCTCCAGTTTTCGCTCCGAAGTTTCTTCTAGATAAATCGGCGCTACCGATATTAAACAGATTTCATATAGAAATTCCAATAATGTCAATATTAGACAAAACGTGATAAAAAAACTCGAGGATGATTTCAAACAAATCTGTACTGAACGCATTTATTCTCAAATGAAAAAGTCTCAATGCCACCGTTATTCATTTATCAAAAACTACGTCAAGTTTACAAAGTAGCCACTCCTTAACAAATGTTGTATTTTACAGGTAACAATTAATGTAAACTTTATTTGTCAGATGTAAAAAAAGGAAAGAAACACATACAAAAAAATTCAGTCTGATGGCTGCATTACATTGTGCGAAATCTTTCTAAACAAAAAAAAGTAAAAGACGAAAAGTAAAAAACAGAACTTATTAGACTAGATGCTTTTTCAAAGTCAGTTGCGATAAGAATAAAAGGTTATATATAAGTTAATAGACGAGAACACATCTGCACATCAACAAAAGAAAATAAAAGATGACTACAACAAGTAACACTTGTAGACACATTAGTAGAAACAGTAACTTTTTTACCAAAAATACCTGCTGGAAGTGTTTAAGAGTATAAATCACTCGAAACTTTACATTACTCTCTCTATTGGCTAAAATGAGTCAAACGCGTGTAGCAGAATAAAAGATTCATATGGCAATAAATAATTTCATTCGTAGTGATTTTTACTCATCCTGCCGTAACAACGATATAAACAAGGTAAAAGGTTTCATGAAAACTCTGACTCTAGATGAAGTGGATAAGCTCGAACCCAACAGAAGCACAGCTCTACATATCGCTTCTTATAATGGTCATCAGGAAACTGCTCGACTATTGTTAGACAGAGGCGCATCTCCTTCAGAAAAAAACGGTTATGATTGCACATCGGAAACTGAATCAAAAACAGCTGACATTAACAACTTTTTCAGCGTAAACGTGAGACAAACAGATTCGGCGGGCACATCGGACAAATTGAATGGATGAAAGCTGATGAAAATGTTTATCAAGAAGCAGAAAAATGGCGTTGGATAGTCAAACATTCATGGGAGGATCGAAAACTTGATTGGCTTGTACATGAAATTCAAACTGATTTTATTGATAGGCAGTTAAAGGAATCAAAAGACTTCGAAATAATACAAACTTTTTTTGATCGAGCTAAAACAGAAATGAATCCTATTCATTTGATTAAAGCGTACACAGCTGAAACTGATTTTTATAAACATCTAAATAAGCAGCTGGCAATAATTGGTGGTAATTTTAAAGGTACAAATGGTGAGTGTAATCGTTGTGGAATCAAATGTTATTTGCAAGTTTTATTTACACATCGTGACTTTGATCAAATGAGTTATGTTGGTGAGTGTTATCGAGGTATGACAATTACAAAGCGTGACCTAGATCAATATCAAGTCGGATCGCAGATAATGAACAAATCGTTTTTATCCATAGCGCTGCTCTTCTATAACGTGATAGTGATGGGAAGAACCCAACAAATAGCAAGTAATGGCGTAAGGAGAAAGTAGAAGATGACGTGGTAATGAAGGAGCCGCACATCTACTGATCGTCTAGTAGCCACAAGTTTTGTATCAGAAATTATTGACACAAATCAGCAGCCATATACGGTACTATGTACGTACAAAATACAGACTACCCGTACTGCATTAAACATTCAGAAACATCTGAATACCCAGAAGAAAACGAAATTCTTATTATGCCTTATACGGCATTTCGAGTCAAATTAATCAGAATGAAAAATTCCACTAACCAAAATGATCAAATTGATTATTTCATTGATCTTGAAGAAAGTATACCACAATTACACCTTCACCAAAAGCAAGCTATAATTAATGCAAAGCAGCTCACATTCCGTAATAAATTCAAGAAAAAGTTTAACAAATGGTTAGGAAATGAAGATTAGATAATAGCGAGATATATAAGTCTCACTGTCTTCTTTGTCGTAAAAATGCATGCAGACTGAACTACAGTTAACTATTCTGCTAAAAAGTGACATATCAAAATTATATTTGTTCTCATGTAATTGCTGTTACTAAACTAAACTGTTACAAACTAACGTAACTGTTGTCTACTTGAATGAGTGTCTGAACAAGGTCGCTTTGTAAGCGATTTTTAGGCAAAGAAAGCTAAAGAAAGAGTGGTTATTTGAGTTAAGGGTTGTGTTTATGACTTATTGTAAGACCAGTTAGGAGATTTAAACATAATTTTTTTAGATTTGAATCTCTCTTTCTTCTTAAATTCTACTTATGTCGTCTCAGTATACCGTTGAATTCAACGGCTTGATGTTGTCGCCTAATCTGGTACCATCACCTGAGCAAATCAGCAATATTAATGAGCAGCAGAATCCAATATTTGAAGTTACGTCTCCATTGGAACCAGTTAGTCAACGTCGTGTTGATACTAAGACAATACTCAACATTGTGCTATTCTTTGTACTTTTGGCCATTAGTTTAGGATTATTCGGTAGTGTCAGCCGAAATATCTTATTACATTCATTTGGTGCTGCATTCCTGATTGCCGGCATCATACCGTTAATATTAACCATCTGGTTAGTTCTTACTGGCGCATCGATGTTTCGAAAAATGAATATTTTAAAAACGGTAATTTCGTCGATTATACTCATCATTGGAATTATTCTGGTCACCATTGCAAACGAACAAAACAGACCAATTGTCGGCTATGCTCTATTTGCCACTGCACTCCTAATGATTATAACAAAATATTTTTTCTTTGTTGAAGATGAACAAATCCGTATTCAACGTTTAGAACGAGAACTGCGAAAAGCAAAACAATCTGCTGGAATGGGTATGGCTCTATCTTACTTCTACAAGTTTATCGTGCCAACAGCGGCTAATATAAGATCGCTGGATGACGGCTCTACACCAATCGATATGGAAATAGCTCGTGGAAAATTTGAAGAGTACCAGCTTAACAATGGTAAATTGTTTGTCATAGTGCCACGTGACCTTGATGGTTCTGATATGAAGATATTTTTAAAAAGAATATCATCACTCCCGAATCCAGCTGTTATGCAAGGGAAACCAAAAGAGCGACCGGGCAACGATACACATCGGCCCATGTTTGTGTACTTCCTCGAGTGTAACACGGAGAAAAAGGAGTGTAACGGTCTATTTGATATTCCAACAATAATTTCCTCCTGTTGGGATAGACATAAAAATGAACAACACCATCGACGGTACACAGTTAATGTTGCCGATGAAATAATTATCTTTCAAAATCAGCTTATTTCGTTGATCAATGAACATCCAATAACAAGAGGAAAAGTACGCATTCTCAGTTTTCCGTCCTTACCTTTTCGATTCGAGGACATCAAATATGCCGTAACTCAATTATCTCATTGAAAGCCTTTTGAATAACAGATCAGGAGAAAAAATATCAAGCATAACCGTTACCTCATTCAAACCCACCTTATTAATGCTAGTTGAATTAAATGAAAAAAATCAAAAATATATGTTTGGTCATCTCAGGCTGCTTAATCCAGATATATAACACTGTTATACCCGTCTTATTTGCCTTTGTTAAAAATTACAAGTGCAACTTACACTTCCAACGAGCAATTTTGTGCAACGACTACTGAAAGTTTATTATTTTTTTGCATTAAAGAAGATTACACAAGAAAAAGTTCATCTGTCGTCTCTAAGCACGTGACTCAGAGAATTTGTCGTAGTTCGACAGCTCTAGTTTTCGACACTGTCGGATATTTCGCTTGAAATTTCTCATTCGAAAACCGACGGTGTCGAAAGTTTTACTCCAAATTCGATAGTCGAAAGTCTGTTGAATCTGGAGTAAAGACGTTCGACCCTGTCGGTTTTCGAATGAGAAATTTCACGCGAAATATCCGACAGTGTCGAAAAGTAAAGGTATTAGACGACAAATTCTCCGAGTCTGGTGCATGCTTAGATGAACCGGCTGAGTGTAGTCAGGTTTGTCGCACAGTAGGCGATGGACCATGTTCTTTACCTGCCGGTATAACAATTTAGAGAGATTGTGTAATTAATGTGATTGAAGATGTGTTAGACAATTGGTATGCTGTTACCATCATGGTGGGGAAACAGGAATTTCGCAGTGGACTTTCGGCAGTTGCCGAAAATTGTGTTTTTGTTGGATTTCGCAAAATACCAGACTGGAACTTTGGCAATAGCCAATAGTCCAGTTTTGTAAATATCGAAAATACATTAAAAGCACAGCTTTAATTAGTAGTAAGTAATTAATTCGCTAATTACTGAACTTTCGGCAATATATAATTAAATATTGCCGAAAGTCCCAGTACCCGCACCCTCACCCATTACCGAATCTCGACCTTTCCTCGTACATCAATACCTATTAAAGACAAAAAACATGGTGACACACAGATCTCGGTAAATAGAAGGTATTCATCCAAGTCCAATACAGATCTACATCCGTCGTGAGAAGCTCTACAAAACGTGATATATAACTTTCTGGTTCGGCGTACTTTTGAAATTCGACAGAGTCCTTTGTTATTCTAAAGCACCACAGCCGCAAATAAACGACAAGACTTTTGCTTTTACTGAACGCATTTATTCTCGAATGATATATGGCAATATTTAATTATATATTGCCGAAAGTTCAGTAATTAGCGAATTAATTAATTACTACTAATTAAAGCTGTGCTTTTAATGTATTTTCGATATTTACAAAACTGGACTATTGGCTATTGCCAAAGTTCCAGTCTGGTATTTTGCGAAAATCCAACAAAAACACAATTTTCGGCAACTGCCGAAAGTCCACTGCGAAAGTCACTACTGCGAAATTCCTGTTTCCCATCGTTTAGAAAAAAGATCCTCATTAAGGCTAAGGTGTAGATCTATAGAAGTGGGCACAACATTTTGAGCCGCGTATAACGAAAATCCTGGCTGAATACCACGCTTTCGGAAATATGAACGGTGCTGAAGCGGACATTTATCTATTCAGAGCCAATAAAAACATAAAAAAATAAAGTACACATGCGCAAACTGTACGAAGACTGATGTTTTATATTTTTTTTCATTAAGGTCTGGATGAAATCATTGCGGAACAAACTTGGCAAAAAATTATATCTTAAAAGACGTAAAAGTCAATGTTTACTTTTTGCCGAGGTTACGAATAAAAAGATGCAAGGCTTGACGCCAAGTCTCTATTTTCTGAAAATGAATGTTTTTGTAACTTGGTGACGGTAGTAGTTAGATAATGAATGTCAGTGTTAACAGTAGAAATGAAACTAGATGGCCGCTCAGATACAAGTATCGTTGCCAATCGTATTCCGGAGAGAACAAATGTAGACAGGAGACGTGATGTTTCCAGTAAGATAATGAGGAAATCGGATTGTTCCAAGGATAATGCCTTTTAAATATTGTGCGTAATGTGAAGGATTGTAAAGAGGAACAGCAGTTGTATGACGCTCGACCGCTAATATTGAATTACACATGAAAAGAAGAACTTGCTGTTTGAGATTAAAAGAAGGTTTAAGCAGTACCGATGCCGATGATATTCCGGCCGACACCAGAACTGAAACTTCTTGCAGTGGAGGGATGATAACAGAGTTAATTAAACGAACAGGAAGTCGTAACTCTTCAGATTGCTGATTGATGCTTATCGTTGTGGTTGTTTGATTCGTACGAATTGAAACAGTATGCTCAGCCATATCGAGTTTTAGTTTGTATTTGTTAATGTAATCCATTCCAAGTAGACAATCAGCACTAAGGTGTTTGACAACGAGTGCAGAAATTGTGGTTAGTGTTGAATTAATTTTTATATCAAGGTCGGCAACGCCAATAGCTTCTAATGGAGAATATCCATCTCCCATGAATAATTGAAGATTTCTGTTGGTAATAAACTTTCGATGTTTTGTTCTTCG